GTTGGCACTGTGAGCCCTGAGAGTGGGGACGGGGTTGGCACTGTGAGCCCCGGGTGCCCAGCGTCCAGACAGCCCCACGTGGTGTCCAGGAAGTCTGTCCCCCACTTCCCCAGGGAGAGAAGGGTCATGAGCAGAGGTTCGGCAGGGACAGGTGCACCTGAGCACTCAGCCAGCAGAGGTCCTCCCTCAGTCCCATCCCCTGCACCCCTGCTTGCCAGGACTCCCTCTCCCCTTCCCGCTGGAGAACTCCCAGGCAGGCTCTGGCTGTGGGGTGGGGGCCAGCTGCAGGTAAGGAGCCCAGGTGGGCTGGGCAGCCCCCAAGGGAGGGTCCTGGTGGGATGAACAGAAAGCCAATGGTATACAGATCCACTCCATTGCCTGGCCTTTGGAGGGGGGAACTGAGGCAGAGTTGGCCTTGAGACAAAGCCTGGCTGATCTGTTACCCGCAAACAAGGGTGGTGGGTGTTGTTTGACCCTTGCGTGTGTGGGACCTCCCAGGCTGATAGGATTCATGGATTCTCCACCCCACACCCCGGGAGCCCCTCCTCCAGGGAAGGCACCCTCTCCCAGCTGAGCCTGGCCCTGTCCCAAGAGTGGCCACACAGGTGCTGTTACCTTTTCAGCCAAGGTCAGGACTGTCCTAGCTTGTATGACGACCACCTGCTCCTCATTGGTCAGATTCTGCACCCAAAGCAGACATGGGTACAGTAAGGAGGGGTGCTTGCAGAGGCACCAGACTGAAATAATGAGGGCATGGGGTGGCGGGTGGGGAGGCGAATGGGGTGCCTGGTAGGGGGTGAATGAGTGGTACCTGAATGGGGGTACCTGGTGGGGGTGCCTGGTAGGAGGTGAATGCTGGTGTCTGGTGCGGGCATGAATGGGGTGCCTGTGGGGGGGTGAATGGGGGTATCTGGTCAGAGGTGAATGGGGTGCCTGGTTGGGGGGTGAATGGAGGTGCCAGGTGGGGGGGGAATGGAGATGCCAGGTAGGAAGTGAATGAGGGTGTCTGGTGGGGGGTGAATGGAGGTGCCAGGTCGGGGGTGAATGGGGCTGCATGAAGTGAAACTGATGGAGAGGTGAAGACGGCTGGGATCACAGGGAAGGTGACTTTCACTGATGTGGCCTCCTGGAGTCTTGAATCCGTTTTATTCTTGATCCCATTGACCCTGAGGCGCTCTCTCTGTTCCGCCCCGCCTACCCCCAGTACTGGCGAGCAGATGCCGTAAGCAGTGGCTGGGGCAGAAGTGGTGGGAGGGGGCGTAAGGCAGCAGCTATACATGTGTCCCTATCGTCCCTTGTGCACATCGTTCTTTAAAGCCAGCTCTCTGCATATGCAGCCTGTATTATCAGTTACTAAAACCCCACTCAGGAACGTGGGGTGAGGGCTCCCATCCCTGACGTCTTTGCCTTTTCTCTGCATGTTGTATTCACACCTCTTCCAAGGGGCCCACCTGGTGGTCTTCTGGCTGAGTCTGGCTTTGGGGCCAATGAGCATCCTCAGAGGCTATAAGCACCTCACTCACTCAGACCCTGACTGCCACCTGCATTCACACCTCGGTAGGATCTGGGCTGTCCCCACTGCAGGGGCCAACTTGTGGGGCAGCGGGTGGGGGGTGGAGAACATGGGAATCAGAGACCAGAGCAGAGCAGAGCCTGCTGGAGGACAGCCCCCTACAGCCCGAAACCTATCTGCTCAGAAAGCCCTCCAACTGGGGTGTGAGCTCCCCCAAGGGCAGGGGTCCTCACCATCCCTTACCCCTATAGCAGTCAGCCAAGTTGGGGGCCAGTGACCAAATGCTGGAACACAGAGGCAAGCTCTGCCCTTGGGGCACAGTGCACCCTGACTCAGCACAGAGCTGGGCTGGCCAGGCACTCCGCACACCTCCTGCTCCTGGGGAAGCCGATCAGGTGCCCAGGTGCTCCCTCCTCCCAAAGCAGACAGGGACCAGGGGAGGCCGAGCAGGTGGCTTCAGGGAGAACCTATCGGGACTTGGTTGCACTGGGCTGACAGGCTCACCACCGGGTGAGCAGCCTGGCATTGTGATACCCTAGCCTGGACAGAGTGCCATCTGCTTTACCTTCCTGGCCCCTGCTCTCCCTTCCCCGGGTGACCCATCCATCTTCAATCCAGGGAGAGCAGTGGTGAGTGGTGCTGCCTGCCAGGGAGGATGGGGGTTCACTCCGCCCCTGCTGCCTCTGTTCAACTCCAAGGGCCCTGCCTCCTGAGCACACTGAGGTCTTGGGGCTCAGGTACCCCTGAGCATAGCCCGTTTAGAGGTCTGTGCACAGTAACCACAGCACTAGCATGAGCTGGCTGTGAAGGCAGGAGGGGCCGGGCTGTCCCTGTCGCCTGCTTCATAAGCTGGGCCACTCCAAGTTCCAGGAATGAATCTCTGAGCTCAGGCTCCACGGGACACCATCCGGGTCATGAGGTGCACGTGAGGTACACCCATATGCTCCACTGTGACCACTGAAGGGATGCCCTCTAGGCCCATTGGTAGGAACTGCCAAGCTTTCCCCAGGGTCCCCTGAGTGTAAAACCTGAAGGTGTGTCCTCCAGTCCCTGAGAGTCTCTGTCCCCATGCTCTGAGGCCACTTGATGGCTCCATGGCAGTCCTGCCCACTGATGTTCTTGAGTAGGCAGCTATAGGGCTGGGGAGGGGCCCTGAACTGAGCTCATCCTACATCAGCTCTGGGACCCTGGGCAGGTGTCCTCTTGGGCCTCAGTTTCTCCAACTTGAATCAGAAGGTTAACCAATATGGTCCCCATGATGGGGCCTGATAACTCAGGCTTGGACCCCATCCCTGTATTGGCTAATGCCTCTACAACCCACAGCTCAGATGGAGCACAAGGTCTGGGGGAGGGGCAGATACCGCCAGCAGAGCCTCCCTCCCCAAGTGAAGGATGGGCAAGAGAGAAGCATCCCTGTCAACACAGGGCCCTGCACGTGTCACAGCTGCCGGGAAGAACAACTAGTCCTAAGAATACGTGTGAGTACCGGAGTTTTGGTGTGTGTGAATGAGAATGTGTGTGCTTGCATGCATTTGTTTCTCTTTTTTTCTCCTTCTACTTCTTGAAGTACACTGATATGACCAAGTGCCTGGCTCTTTCTCAAGAGCAATGACCAGGATGGGGAGCCCAAGGTGTTTTAGGACTAACTGTAGACTATACTTATTAGTATGCCTCGGGAGAAAAAAAACTTCCGGGTGGTGGAGTGGGGCTGCCTTCTGGCACAGTTGAGCTGCTCATTGGGCAGGGGACTCAACAAGTGCAAGATGATAGATAAAGGGCAGATGGAAGATGGATGGGTGGGTGGATGGATAGAGGATGGATAGAGGATGGATAGATGGATAACGGAGTGTGGATGCAGATTGAAGGATGGATGGATGGATGGATGGATGGTGGATGGATGGAGGATGGATTGATGGGTGGAAGATGGATGGATGGTGGATGGATGGATGGGTGGATGGAGGATGAAGGATGGAAGATAAAGGATGGATGGACAGAAGATGGA